TAACAGATGAGACAAATAATCCTTTTTGAGCCACACCAAAAAGTTCTCTCTGCTAACATTCATGCTGCTCAGCATGAATTTTTAAACAAGGTGAAAGCTCTTCAATATATGCATATTACCCATCCCAAATTTCCTACCAATAGGCTCACAAGGCAAGTGCAGCATCAGATGGGAGTCATTAGCTGAGAATTTTGAGATCATAGTCACTCCACCCACAATGAACTACAGAGGGCAGGAAGTGGGGGTAGGGGCCCCAGAAGAGACTTCATTCCAAGAATCATGTGACAGGGTTCAAAGGGTCTTGGTGTAGACTTGAATAGCTCATCATCTTTCTTTCTGAAGTTATGTGGAAATTCTTCAGAAAATAATATTTGTGTCTTATGAAGGAAGGCCTTGCAAAGAAACATGATGTATTACTACGAAGTACTTGGAGTGCCTCAAAATGCTTCCTCCTCTGATATTAAGAAGGCTTATCACCAATTAGCACTCCAAGTACACCCAGACAAGAACCCGGAGAACAAAGAGGCAGCTGAGGAGAAATTCAAACAAGTAGCAGAGGCTTATGAAGTCTTGTCTGATACCAATAAATGCAATGACTATGACAAGTCCGGGGGAACCTCACCAAAAGGAAAAATAGAGGAGACAGCAGAGAGGAAAACTACTTAGAGGCGGAGCTATTGTTTGAGAGGCCACATGGCATCTTTAAGAATGTCTTTGAAGATGAAGACCTCTTTTCAGGAGATTTTATTTCCACTGGCCACATGGATAGAGCGAGGAGATTCCACTCCTTCTTTAATGTGATCCCTCTGTTGGACACAGGATTTTCTACTTTTGCATCCCTGGGCTCAGGACCAAGTCCCACTTCCTCCTCAACATTCGTACCCTTTGTAAGCAGCGGAATGGGAAACTTCAGACTGGTCACCACTTGTAGTCACATAGTGAATGGCAAGAGAGTTGTTACAAAGAAAGTGATAGAAAATGTAAGGGGAAGAATTGAAATGGAAAAAGAAAGACTATTTCATTAGATTCCTCCACCTGCATGCTAAGGAGTTGGTGAGTCTTGATGTTTATCAAAAGTACAATTAGAGTCTTAGAGTATTTTGAAGTGGATAGACAGAGGTCACTTTAATTCAAACCTCTCATTTCACAGAGAAGGGGAGTAATGAACCAGACAAGAAGCACAGTTGTCTTCTAACTTGAGCCTTCTCTCTCCTACTCTCTATTAGGAACAGTGAAGACATTGTCACAAATATGGCCATCTAAATCAGTTGCAGTACCCTATCATCATGAATCCCATTGACTTCTCTGAATTTTCCCCCATATTGCTGTTACCAATTACCTCTTTCTTGATATCTATCCTCTTTGCTTCCTAACCTCTTTCTCTGCTTTTTCTCTTCCCATCTCACCTCCTTTCTTTCCATACATTTGCAATGGACCATATCCCAATCACACTCAATTGAGTCACCTAGAGGAATGTTGGCAGAGAGGAAGAGTAAAAATTAATGGGTTCAGATTTTTTTTTCCCCATACTTTTTTTACTAATAGCAGACATTCATTTAGTGCCCTGTAGATGTGAGGAATTCTGCTTAACATGTGTTATCTCAATAATCCTTTCAGCAGTGAAATATAGTAGATATCTCTTCCTCCCACACTATATACATAAGGAAATGAGATTTAGAGAGATTAAGTAACATGCCCCAGGCTCCAAATAATAAGTAGTGAAACAGTGTGTTACTTTAAGGCACCTGCTCATATCTATGACTCTTACTCATTTGTTATTTTTAAATCGAAAATCTTGCCTTCCGTTGAAAATTTACACCTATCATCTCTAAACCTTACTTCAATGTGTGAATACTTGCTGGAACTTATTAAGCAAGTAAACATTCTGTGTGTTATTACCCAACAAGAACTTGAAAGCTAAATGTTTTTACATAATCAACTGATAAAATCAATTTTAAAATTCACTGAAGCTAAGGAATGATTATCTTTTAACACAGAAATGTAAATAGGATCCATGAGATGTGAATTAATTAGCTTTTTTTGGGGAGGGCTTTATTATGACATACATGCAGAATCTTGGGAATTTTTTTTTTTAATTGGGTAGCACTGGTCATATTCCAACACTTTCATTTTTACTAAGAAGACTAAAGTCCAGAGGAGTTGTTCCTTGTGGAAAATCACTGATGGAAATAGCATTAGAATCTCTGTCTTCCTTTCAGTCCTGTGCTCTTTCCAGTCCAATTACTAGTCCCATGCTGACTCTTTGGCAAGATTTGGCTTTTGTTTGCATCACAGTCCTTTACTGAAACTATGTAACAAATTATTAGCTTTCTTAATCAAAGGATTGTCCTACGTGTGTGATTTTTATGAGACAAATGTTTTATGTAGTCTTTGAACCTTTTTAATCTCATTAAATTTTCTGAACTTGAACAAGAATATGCATGTATCCCTCTGGCAAAGAATAGCATTCAAACACTGAGCACACTTCCAGAAAGGGAGCAGAAGGCAGATTTGGAATCTAAACACATTTCTTTTCTTTGAAAGCCTATAAATTTCTACTTAATAGTCATTCAGTACCTCCTATATGCCAGGCACTGAGCTAGATACTTTACATGAATGGAATCTCCAAAATCCCTCAAGAGGTACAAGTGAAAAAACGGAGGCTTAGGGCAGTTAATTTATCCTGGATGTCACACAGTACACCATGGAGACTGGATGCAGACTGCGGTCTGTCTTGCCCTAAATTGCCCATCCCCATTACTCTATCTTCTACTCCCATACCTCCCAGCTGCTGTAGTTATGGTTTAAGAGGGAAATTTTGTGGTGTGAATGAACGATAAGCATATCAAGAATTCTAAAACGAGCATTTCCAGATTAAGCTTTACCATCCCTGGTCTGAGGTGAACTGCAATGTGTCCCTTAAACAAAGGGAAAAATCAAATTGGAGCATGAAACATAATTTTCCATTTGTCTTAAGTAAAATCCAAATTTCAGCAGTTTTCACAGACATATTTGGCTTTTGATGAAAATGCTGTTATAGGATTTTTGCCTGCAAAAATTTAAAAAAAAATCACATCTCAGTTAGTCAAGGATGTTGTCTTCTTGTGTGGAAATGAAAGTGGTGTCATCTCTTCCTGGTGCCTGTTTAAAATATGTAGTCAGTAGGAGCAAAGGACAGAAAAGGAAAGATAGGGAGTAAGAAGAGCTTTACCTTTTTCAAAAACATTCCCCTTAGAGAGCATGGGCCTAGAAGTAACTATAATTCCAAATCCTGTGACCTCACAATGCCTTCAGATCTGCTACTGTATTTGTTTCCAGGTGTCAAAAGGTCCTCTTCCATCTTTCAAACCTGCAGCTTTCACTAATGGGTGATTGTTAGGGTTATTTTCTGCCTCAGGAGGAAAAAAACACTTTAGGATTAAAAAGTCAATCCCTATATCCTTAAATAATTTCTCACTCTTACCCTATCAGCCTTGATATGCTGTGGTTTTGCATAGTTGTCTCTCAAATTAATGTGAGTTTTGCCTTCTGGTAGCCAACAAATTAAAGGCTTCCAACGCCAAAAACACCTTAGACCAATTCAAAGTAATTTCTATTCTGCTCTGGTTAGTGTTAGATGGTTTACGAGTGAGACGACCATAATCCTGTCAATGGTGATGAAAGGGATCATGCCAAGTGCTTGTATAATTCACATTTGCAAAAGAGGTATCTTATGGAATCCTTTCAGAAACCCAGTGCCCCCATAATAGTCTCAGGAAACAAAAGAGGAGGGACTTGCCTAAGGTCAAAAAGTGGATAGTCTGTGAAGTTGCACACTGTGTCCAGATGGTACAGAAGTATGTGGGTAAAATCATGAAGAGGGATGCCGAGTCTCACCAAGCATACATAGCTGGTCTGTCTCTTGAGTCTAGGTCCCCTAAGAACCAGCTCAGGTTATCTGCATGGTAAACAATCACAATAATAAGGTGGCACTCAAAATTCAGTGCTTCCTTAACAAAAGTTTTAAACCATTTTATATATTTGAGATCTTCATCTCTTTCATGAGAAGTCCGTTTTTCTTTCACCCCAAAGTTTTATAGTCTCCATAGTACCTGGAATGGAAGGCCCGTGGTTGGGAAATCTGTGGAGAGTGAACACGGAAAATAGGGGAGGGAATTTTGTGGCTGGCAGGGCCTCTGCCTGTCATGACTGTGTTTGGAATCTTGATCTGCGAAGAGAGGGATGTGGTAGGGGCTTTCATGGAGAATTTGATAGTGGGGTTGAGGTAAGATAATTTTCTTTTTAAAGAACAGGAAAGCAGCTCAAGGAGGGTGAGTAATTTCTCTAATGCTCCCTGTTGTGATTGTCAAGACTCCAGGAAACCTAAGTCTAGTCCCAGTTTGACCAGATAGACAGCACATACTTACCTCTAAGTGTCAAAAGTAGCAGAAGGGAATTATGAAAAGAACATTGACTTTGGCTGTAGGCTGATAAGAACTCAAATCCTATGCTATCCTTTCAATGGTAAACTAAGATAAACTTTTTTTAATCTTAGGCAGGCTAACTCCTTGCTTGATACTTAGTTTGCCTGTAAAATACTACCCTTTCTGATTTACAGAATAGTTTTAGGAATTAAATCGGCAAAAAAAAATCTGCATAAGCTTTAACATATTTCAGAAATAAAAAAGTGTCATTCCTTTAGGAAGCAATATTTTTTAATCCTTAGGGTACGTGCTCTAAGCATGCCATCAGTTTTTTAAGATGTGATATTTATGTGTTTGAAAACAAGATCATCTATGGATTGTATGTAATTTAAAAATACAAGTAGAAGATGGAAGATAGAAATAGAAGATCCTCTTTTTTTTTTTTTTTTTTTAATGTTGGCACAACTAGAAATGTTTTTAGCTTGAGAAAATCGCTATGACTTTTTTCCTTGGAACTTCAAAGGAAAGACTTTTTTTCTTCATTATCCTTGAGCTGTGGGACTTAAATGTTGGCTATACCCTCTGCTTGTATTCTAGGAAATTGATGGAAAATCCCTGCTATTGATGACAAGGAATGATGTGTTGACAGGACTTCAGTTAAAATTGGGGCCTGCACTGAAAATCTACGAGTATCATGTAAAACCTCTGCAGACAAAGCATTTAAAGAACAACTCTTCATAGTGGAGTCAAATTGGGGTCTTAGACCTCAAAAAATAAATAATTACATAATTTAGTTTCATGTGATGAAACTTTGTAAACAGAATACATACATGTGTATATGTAAAGAATTTCAATCAAATGAAAACGTTATCCTATTGGATAGACTAGGCAATCTATCTGCTGACCTGGATTCAGCCCAGGAGCAAAGACACAATATGGACAGGATGGTTTTTCTTATGGAGTTTGTCACATAGAATGATCTTTGACATGATTAGACACCCCTCCCCACAAAAGCTTTGAAATCACAAGGATTTCCTTCATAGATTGCTTACACAAAATCCTTTATGAAAATTAATGAAGTGAACACCTTTTAGTTACAGACTTAAGATTAAAAACAAGAAAACTTGGGGAGGAGGAGAAAAGAGAAAGGAATTGTTGTCTTCCTTGAATTCTTCTGCTCCTTAGAGCTTGTGTTACTTGGATGGAATTGCCGACACCCTTTTTTATAAAGGGTCCTCCACTTGACCTTATTAAGGTTTCATTGGGAAATGCACACACATCATGACCTCTTCAGGAGCAGAACCGTAGCTCTGAAAAGAGAACCCTGTTGTGTACTGGGGATATCCATCCATATTCAGCTAGCTTTCACAGGGGTAATGGTATTTTCTGCATAGATTTGCTTTTAAATTGGTCCATTGGTTCCGAAGAAAGCATTTTTCACTTTATGGTTTTTATTTATAATAATTTGTTTCTGAAGAAATTTGCCAAGCATTATAGTTCAAAAAGCCTTGTTCCTAGCACAGAATATTTTTATATATATCCCTTCATGATGGTGTAATATTTTTTTAATTGTTCTGATACTTTGCTTGATTCCTGGTTTGAGTCCTCGTTTCTAAGAACTTGAAAAAGTGGGCTTGCTACATCTCTGTTCAAAGAGACATTTCTTCAATCTCTGTGTGTCACTGCCTTGATGAATTGGTGCTTTGTGGTTGCAATAAAGCATTGCTGCAGTTTATGTCCAGTGTACCTTTGATCTTTTCTGTGTGGTTGCTTCTTCAGCTGGGATTAAGAAATAAGTTCTGTCCCTGAAACCATAAAGGGAAAATTCAGCTTTTGGGGAAGAAAATAAATAAATAAATACACACAAGAAAACTGTTGTTATGTGCCATCGAGTCGGACTCGACTCATAGCAACCCCTCCTTGGGTTTCCCAGGCGGTATCACTACGGAAGTAGATTGCCCAATCTTCCTTCTGAGAAGTGGCTGGTGGGTTTGAACTGCCAGCCTTCTGGTTAGCAGTCAAGTACCTTAGGCACTACTGTAGCTATAGAAATTATATGTGGATATAGGAGCCCTGGTGGTACTGTAGTTAAGTGTTCAACTGCTAACCACAAGGTCAGTGTTTCGAACGCACCAGGCACTCCATCAGAGAGAAAGATGTGGCAGTCTGCTTCCACAAAGATTAAACCCTCTGGTCAGTGCTTTCTGTACTATAGGGTTGCTATGAGTCAAAATCAATTTGACAGCGATTTTTTTTTTTTTTTTTTTGAGATGTGGATTTGGATTCTCTGGATGGTGAAAATGGTTAACATACTTAGCTTCTACTGAAAGATTAAAGGTTCAAGTCCACCAAGAGATGCCTCAGAAGGAAGGCCTGATTATCTACTTCTAAAAAAAAATCAACAATTGAAAACCCTATGGAGCGTTCTGTTCTGATACATGTGGAGTTGCCAAGTCAGAATTGACTCAATGGCAACTGGTGGTGGTGGAGGATATGTGAATTTATCTTTTAAGCTGAATCATCCAAGCAGACTTTATTCCTTTCCTTCCTTTCACCCAACAATCAATTGAATGTACTATTTTGGCCAAAAACTCTTTATTTGCTATAGGCCAATGGGGGTCATTTTTGTTGTTGTTGTTTTGTTTTTAAAAATGATGAAAGCTGTGGATCTTTCTTCCAGACAAAAGTTCATATTTCCACATGCAAAATTTTGCAGAGATTTCACAGACTTCCTGAAGTTTTCTCCTCATCATCAAGTCCCTATTTTAGAGGTGTTGTAATTCATTCCCCTGTGGAGATAATTTCCCTAAAGCACAAGAAGATTGAAAATGAGAGTGAAAAACTGTAAGAAATTGTATAGATAGTCAATGGGGTTCAAAAATGCATTCCAAATTAATTCAATTATGGACTTTGTGGCACTTCGGAAATTTAAGTAATGTTTTGTTTTGCATTGTAAGTGGGAGGAGGGGTAACAAAAGGAATGTATTCTATCCAAGCTCTCACAGTCTACCTAATGCACTAAACACAAGAAATAGTAAAGGTGGAATATAGTTAAGTGTGTGAGGAGTGATGGAGACAAAAGGTGAGAACTTCAACTGGACACCTGGTGGGAAGAAGGGGTGGAGCTCAAGGAGAAGGAATAAGGAAGGCAGAACTTAATTAGCCTTTGTAAAGGAATTTCTCACTAGAAAAAAATGGTATCCTTTTTATATATAACAAAGGGATACTGTGAGGAAGATCTGTTGTTACTGTTATGTGCCATCAAGTCGGACCCGACTCATAGCGACCTCTCCTTGGGTTTCCAAGGCGGTATCACTACAGAAGTAGATTGCCCAATCTTCCTTCTGAGGAGTGGCTGGTGGGTTTGAACTACCAGCCTTCTGGTTAGCAGAAGGCACTATGCTACCAGCTAGGTCCTGCTTTTGTGCATCTACCTTCTGTAGTAGCTTGGAATATACTAGCTGTGAGTGCTAGAAACCACTTTTCTCATCTCAGGAAAGGAAAACAAGATTGAAGTTTGTTTTTCTCTTATGTAAATGTCCGGTGAGGGGGATCAAGGATGGTATGGTGTCAGGGACACAGGCTCCCCCTTTTGCTCCATCATCCATAATGGATCCATTCCCGAAATAATTTCATAGTCCAAGATGGTTGCTTCAGCTCTCACCATCCATCACATTTGAATTCCAACCAACAGGAAGAGGAAAAAGGATAAGGAATATACCGCTCCTCCTCCCTTTATGGACACTTGCAAAAAATTGTACATGGTATTTCCTCTTACATCTTCTTGACCAAAATTCAGTTGCATGGGTACACCTACGCTGCAAGAGAGGCTATGGAATATTTCTTTTTCTTGGTTGTCATACATTACATTACAACATTACAATACTAATTGCACAATGAAGGTAGCCATTATTATTATTATTATTATTTCATTATTATTATTATTTCATTAGAATTGTAAGCTGGTCCCTTGAAATTCAAAAGTCACATTACTCTGTATGTAAATGAGAAGGGACATTGGGGGAGCAACTTGCTGTCACCATCGTGTGTCCTTGTACACACTCTCTGAGCCAATGAAACGGAAAGTGGGTTTTTAGCTGTATTTTTCTCTGTATTTGAAACTTGGGCTCAAATTCCCTTCAGTCTCTGGACTTTTATTTGTTGTTTAGAATATATAAAGCAGGACACACAACAATTCAACAATTTCTATGTGTACAATTCGGTGACATTGATTATATTTTTCAAGTTGTACAACCATTATCACTCTCCTTTTCCAAATTGTCCCCTTCTTAACATAAACTCACTGCCGCCTCAGTTTCCTATCGAATCTTTCAAGTTGCTTTTGTCAATTTGATCCCATATAGTTCTTAAAAGAGTATAATGCTCAGGGCAGAATTTTTTTTTTTTTTTTTTTTTTTAATAATTAAGCTAAACTATTGTTTGGTTTAAAGAAGACTCCAGGGGATATTTTTGGTTAAAGTTTTATTATTTAAACGTTATCAGAAATAGCTTCAGGGGTTCATCCAGCCTCCTACAGCTACTGGCAGCTTTGTCCACTAACGAACTCTCACCTAACTCAACTAATCTTCAGACCTGGACAGCTTTATTAATGTCAGAGGGAAAAAAAGGAACATATTTTAAAAGCAACCTGAAAAAGAATCAAATCATTCCTTCAGCCCCTCTGTTGACAACTTTTTGGCAAAATCACCAAACTAAAGATGGCCTGCCTTCCTTATACTCAGCACAAATGCCTAAGACAGGCTGGCCTGAGTGCCTTGGTAATAACTGTAGATGCTTTCATTTCCACCCATCCAGGGAAAGAGAAGTATGGTCAAAATGGGCTAGAGAGAGAGGCTGGCAGTACTTGAAATTCAGCAGGTAGGCAGCCTTTATCAACAGCTGTGAAAATCAGAGACATCCAAATCCCTTTCAGATCACACTGGATTGCTATTAATGTGATCTGAGTCTGTAACTAGTAGCAAGTACACAAGCTATATGAGGAAGCACATCATGAATGTGAGTGGGAAGGAGCATTGCCCTGATGCCAATGTTTTCTGTAGTGGTTTATGGGCAATTGTTTACTGTTGAATTTATATGATTCTAAACTGGGTTGGGAGGGGGTTGGGAAGCAGACAGGATATCACAATCACCAGAAGGGATTTTAAAAAATAAATCCAATTCCTCCCCCGCTGCACATTCTAACCTCTGATTCAGACCCTACAAAGGAGACTTAATGAATTGATTTAAAGGAGAGGTCATAAAAGGGTCACTTTTCAGCAGAATCTATATTTACATGTTTTCCTTGATTTAATGAAGGGTGCATTTGTTTTTCACACTACATTTGCATAATTCTAGATGAGGCATAAAGCTCCAGTTTGTTACAGTCTCTTCTATTCCCTAATATATTACAACCAGCAACTTCACATTTTTACATTAACTGCCTGGATTCTAAAAGCTTTTGAGTTTTAATCCCCCTGACCTACAACCAAGAACACCCAGAGAGAGCCTCCTGATAGTAAGTTAACTCAAGATGTAGAGACTGTAAGTAGATGGAATTGAGAAGAAAACAAGCTAGTATGTTGCACTGGAACTTGCAACAGATTTGAGCAGCATTTTTGATACTTAGTGGGCGTGGTGAGTTTGAAGAAAAAGAGACAAATTGGTGTAGTCTCCTGGTTTTGTCTTCAAGAAATATCCTACATGAATTGTTTTGTTTTTTCTCCCTCAGGGCTTAATATACACTGTCAGGGGCATGCACGGTCCTTTCTTTGTATTAGTTAAATATATCTTCAGAGAAATTTAATTTGGAAAAATCTAATGACCCACAGTTGCTCAACCGCTCCCATATTTGGAAGCCAAATGCAAAAAGTACTTACTGGTGGTAATTCATCTGCCTTTGACTGTCATTGCAAATGGGATCTGCAGGGGTCAGGTCCGGGCCCAGGACCATTAAGTGTTTTCGGTAATGATTTGGAGGATGAAGTTAAATGTTCAAAGAGCTGACTGCAGCAGGACAGATATTTCTCTTAGGAGAAAACTTGTTAATTCTGCCTCTAAACCAGGAACAGAAGCCACAGGAAGGAGAGTGAGCAATGGGTGCATTAGTGAACAGCTTGTTAGCTTCATGCTGTAGCTCCATAGGCAATTAAGTAGTCTGGGTACTATTTCTGGCCAGGAGTGGCAGTACTGCAGAGAAAGAAAGAGATGAAAATTTCTGCATCCATGTTCATTTGGTGACTGCAGCTATCTTATCTCTTAGAATCGCTGGATAGTTGTGAACCAAAGAAAAGAACTGTTAGTAGCCTAGCTCTGGGGCAGAATAATGGAGGATCCTGTAAGTATCCAAGAGAACTCTTTGGCTACCTACAATTAGGTAGCTATGTTTGTTGATGCCTCTTCACCTCAATTAGGTAAGCGTGTACCTGTCTATAGGAGCTCTGGTGGCATAGTGCCTAAGGCATTTGACTGCTAACCAGAAGTCTGACAGTTCAAACCTACCATTCACTCCTTGGATGGAAGGTTGGGCAATCTACTTCCGTAGTGATATGATACTGCCTTGGGAACCCAAGGAGGGTCACTATGAGTCAGGTCTGACTCAATGGCAGTGAGTTTGGTTTTTTTTTTTGTGTGTGTGTGTGCCTGTCTATAATTGCCTTTAGGGAGAAATCAGGAAAAGCTGAGGATGCCAGACAATCTCCAAATAGAAAATGTGCCCCTCTTCTATGGAATAAGTAC